GGATACGAAACGACGTGCGCTCGCAGGGGTTGCCTTGCAGCAAACCCGCCGGGCCAAGGAGAGGACGTGCCCTGAGCTTTCCGGGGTTTCCAGTGCTCTCAGAAGCCGCCAGCTTCATCCGCCTCCTCGCCAAGACCTGTGCCAGGAACGGCCCTGCCTCCTCACGCGCAGGCAGCATCTCCGTTTAAACACAACAATGGTCTGCCCTCCTGTCATTTGCCGCAGCGTGCGCTTTCGCCAGCCTCCTGTCATTCCCTCTCGCTGGCACCGCCAACATTGAAGGATATTCGCCACTCCTCAGCGATATATGCTGGCGGACTCCGCTGCCGCTCCGCCATTTGCCAGCCTCACGCCATAGCCGGAAAAGCCTGCTTAGAGCGTTTGGCTTGGATCTGGCTCTGCACTGGGAGTGCTTCGCATGACCGCAAAAATGTCCGCGCCTTAAAAGAAATCAGGCAAGCATGTGGGAGCTTGTGGACCCCGTAGTAGGAGGCCATGCTGTCGTGAGGGAAGAACATTTGCCACTGTAGAACGAACGACGCAATCACGTTGCTTACAACACAGCGCACTCATCAACTCCATCACGGACACGGTGCACAAGAATGAAAAATCAAACATCCAGGGAAGGGTTCCATCAAGTGTCCAGCTCCTTCTTCTCCAGTCACGTCCAAGTGGTGGACCAAACATGGTTCGTAGTATCCGCCAATGAACATTTTTTCCGTGCAATACAATGATGTGGCCCAAACTAGAAGATTGCATGGGTTCCGACGGAATGCTGCGGACTTGCATGACATCCTCTTTTGGCAGACTTGCTTTAATTACTGTTTACGTGATTGCTTTGGCGGTCGAAGGAGCCAACTGCTGGGAGAATGTACAGTCAGCCTTTGACCGATTTTCAAAAAGTGGTTGTTCCAGGTTCGGGTCTTCAGATTTTTTTGGAGTACGAATTCACGGCTGTGCAGACGCTCAAGCTTCAACAGTTCCCAAAGACGTCCAAGAGTTCGGCTGGCGGACGGTCGATACATTTCCGCCCAGCTACCTCAGGTGTTTAGCGCCCGTCCAAGGGGTTTGAGTTTGATGGCCACCAAACTCTGTTTCACCTTAAAATGGTCAGAAATCAACACAAGGGATCAAGTGTTGCTTGGCGGTTTTTGCGTCAGTCAGCAGGCAGGCAGGCAGGCTGCACAAACAAAAATGCCCGATTTGGGCTGAACGGGATGTGCAAGAATCATACTGGATCCACGTCATCCACAGTGCAAAGTCACTGGCGCCGAAAATGTTCCATCAAAACGGACCAAGTATGTCATGCAGGCATAGAAGAATGTCCCTGGAAAAGCAGGACTGGTACCTATTGCGCGCTCGAAGACCAGCCTTTGCCTCTCCAGGCAGAATTTCCTGCCAGTGATCAAAATTTGCAGTGCAGAAGAAATTGAGGGAATCAGTATGAAGTAGCATTGCTATTGGTTGAAGCGCTGTGATGTTCGGATGCTTTACCGTGGCAACCTGCACGTGCGTAGCTGTTTTGTGGGATTGTGTCCAACATGCCTGCACATGTTCAGCCTGCGGCAGTGGGATTTTGCATCAGCATTTAGGGGTGACGATGTGTTGTGTAGATTCCGCAATGTTGCCTGTATGCCCGTGTACATTGCATCCCCCACACGTATAGATTCACAGTGATTGGGTTGGCCATGGCGTAAAGTTCAAAGATTTCTCGTGGCAAACGGGATGCCCTCGCGCCGCGCCGAGGCTGGCTGCCCATGCGCAAATCCTTTTTGTGACGTGCTTTCATGTGACAGGATCGTCAGCAAGTACGAGCCAAGGCGGCCGAAGAGGCAACCAAATGCGCAGCCACTGAAAACATCACACGTTGTCATGTGTAAACTGCCATGTTTGCAAGTGCTGTGAGGTGTACCGCCAAGCCCAAGCAGCCAAAGAACTTGTTGCGGCGCCGGGTGCTCAGGTAGACCGTAGACCATGATATTGTGGCGTTGCTTGGGTGTTGCAGTTTGTGAGCATGTCAAAGCAGGTGCTCTCAGCTGCGGGGGCGGACGTTCAGTTTGAACACAGAATGCGATATCATTTGAGTAACAAATCCGAGGACCCGCATGCTGAAGACACAAAACCGCATGCCCAAGGCTTGAACAAGGCCGTGGGCGGCCTGGCCCTGAACCCAAAGCAGCGCCTTCCCTGTTGCAACGTCACCGACAGGCATGGGAATCATGCAGAACAACGTTAATTATTTCCGCACGCACCTTGTCGCAGGAACGCGCGTGCGAGCTGAAAGGGAGTTCCAACATGGTCAAAGTTCAGAAGTCCAAGTCCGGCAGAACGCAGACATCCAAGAGGCCTCGTGAAATTGTTTGCATTAGTTTGATGCTGTCATTGGTCAGACTGTTGGAGCCGTTGTGACTCGATTTTCCAGAATTGGAACGGCAACAACAAGTGGTAGTGTTGCAACCATGAGGTGGAAATTTCAGACGATGGTAAGCAAGGCATGCATTGATAATTAGAGCATAGATCACACGTTCAAATGAATTGTCCTCCTGAGCACCAAGGTTACTGGTAGCAACGCCCAAGATTTGAAGCCATCGCAAGCGCATGATGTTCACATGATTTCGCCAGGTTTGAACAAGTTCGCCGGGAATTGGTCCTCAACCAGCTCTGCTCCGATTCCGATGGGTCTGCTGATTTTGCCATTCCATTTACCCCCATATCATCCAGTTCAGAAGCCAGCTGGATGGGATTCAAGGATTGGGACACGCAAAGCTTGCAACAGCAGCTTGCAGACGTGCAGCAAAGCTACACTCCAACAGGTGCAGTGGCACTCGTAAACGGAGAGGACGCATCTGTTTGTCCAGCCGAGCAAAGCCGCATGAGCTTGCAATCAGAAAGCATCGATGAGTTGTGCTTTGCCACGCCGGATAAGCCTCTGGACTCTGTCACAAGCTGGACGGAAGCATGTCCTGAAGAAACTTCGCGCATGGATGCCGGTTGTTCGTTGCAGGCTCCTTGCTTGCACGCAGAAATGAGGTAAAACTGATTTGTTTTCGTGCTTGTCAAGACTTCGCAATACAAAGAAGCAAGTAGTTAACGTCCGAAGAACAAAGTTGTTCGCCATTGTCATTCTAGGAATATTGTGGTGTCGACGTGTATACTTCGATCCCACCACAACATGCCACGACCTTTTATTGGGTTGCAGTTAGGGAACTTAATTAAGACACCGTAATGGGTGTACGTAATTATCAATACGGTGTCTCCAACATGGTAACTGAAATTAAGTTCCGTAACAACCACCCAGTTTAGCCAATGCACTGAGGAAGCGCGAGCATTTTGCCACATGTGCCTCGTGCAGGCCAGCTTCAGGGATGGCAGTGCGCCTAGGGAAAAACATGGTAATCCCCTCCCCCTAAAATTGAACCCCCCTCGCCCTAATATTAAACAATCCCCATTGTGGTATGCTATAGTATGTTGGGAGTATTGAATATTAACGGGGGTGGGTGGGAGGTGTGGGTTAATATGAAATTGGGGGGGGGAGTGAGCGATAATCATGAAAAGTCAAACAATGTAAGCGCCATGCTTTCTTGCCAGGTGTCCCAATGAAACATACATTTTTGGGTTGGTTGTCCCAAGTGTATCGGCAAAGTTGTATGTTCTGATCACCTCCCACCTCACACACACAGCCCAAAAGCAAAAACAACAGGAAAAAAACACCAGCTTCGACTCGTGTTTTGGAAGCTTGCACGTCGCGCTGATAACCTACCTGGAACCTTGATGTCCATTTTGCCACGAGGGCCCAGGATGTTGAGCCAGGATGCCAATGGGACCGCTCGGTAGCAAAGCAACGTATCCTCGCATTCTTTTGGTCAATTCCCCCCAAAAAACCCCCCCAAAACCGGCTTGTAGCAATAAGTGAGGCATTCTGAAGTTTGTTGTGGCCATGTGTCTTTTGGCTGTTGAGTTGCCTACCTGTTCCAAATTGCATGAGGTGGGCCCCAAAGAGGTAGGAGACCGGGTACATTCCGCAATGTGGTTTGTCATCCGACCTGCCGCGCCCAACATCCATAGGCCCGGTAGGGACCCGTAGGCTTGAAGCGTTCACGGAAGTTGTAGCGACACTGGGCAAAGGGATCTTTTTTGACGGCCCGGTGGACACACGTGTGTGCGCCGATGCATGGATACGCCCTAGGTTGTGCCGACTAGAGGTTAACGCGATATCACGCCCAGACACCGTTTCACTGATATCGTTCGGATACACGGCATTCATCGAACGGTAAGGCATTTACAGCGCAGCCTCCAGACAGAATTCACTATGCCATTACTTTGTTGTGGCCTACGTCGTCCCCACCCTGAAGCTAAACGATCTCTGACATATCCCCTGGACAATTTGTAGTAGGGACACCCAAAATGTTATTGGAAATTATGCAGGCCGTCGTTACATCTTATCCCTTTACACCCATAGATGCACATGTATAAGCCCAACATGCATTTCATTGTCCATGTTCCTTTCAATTAGCTTTTCCTCTATCAGTGATTAGTTTGGCCCCTGCATCATGCCAAGGCTCGGGCTTAAATCCTAAACCCTAAACCCTCAACCCTATAATCCTAGAACCTACACCCTAAACCATAATTCTCAACCATGACCCGAAGCCCTAAACCCTGAACCCCATAATCCTAAACCCCTAATCCTAAAGCCTATGCAGGCCGACCGGATCAAGGCAGAGAATGCAGAGCTACAGGGCCTTTCCGCGGAAGAGGCCTAGCACAGCAGCCCCAGAAACTAATCCCCTCGGTTTAGGGGTTAGGGTTTAGGATTTAGGGTTTAGGGTTTAGGGACTCTAGGGACTTTAGGGTTTCCAGTTTAGGGTCTGGGGCTTCAGGTGTAACGTTTATTAAGTCCCCTGAAGATTATTTTTGATTTATGTTATCTATGATCCTCAGAGCCAGCTGGAGAGAAGATTTCTGCAAGAGCCCCAGGGAACTTCGGGAACGTAATAAATCCCTCAGTAACCTACTGGCAGGCGCAGGAGACTTGGCAAGTAGATTATGTAAAGGAGGGTTATCACCAGGCCAACTGCAACTGGGGAATTTGAGCCATATCCTTGAGCTTTCAAACAACAAAAGAAGTTCCTGTTTTCCATAAAAAGTAGAAGGGGGAAATCCATTTTTGCTGCGCGGCGGATTCTATTCTTGTGGAGAGGTTGCCATCGAACCTGACAAAGGATTTAAGGGTATGCCTTCCACAATGAATATGCAACCCCAAACGCTGCCCTTCAACGACTTTGAAAGGGCTTTCATGCAGTTCTATTTGTTGTATATGTTTGGGGGGCCGAGTCCTGATCGCAGCCTGGATGCACGTGGTACGAATGTACCTGGAATCAAAAAAACGCATCCTCCAAGTGACGACAGAGATACGTGGTGGACATTTAGTGGACACGTTGAGAGGCAAGTCTGCTCAGAGCATGCTAGAGCCACAGACGGCACTAGTTTGCCAATTGGGTTTGGCACGGAATAGCTTAGGTGGACCCCCCCGCAATAGTGCCATTAAGGGATAATGGTGGTCATGTCAGGTCCTCGCATAGTCCTACGTTGCCACTATTACAGGGTGGGGGCCTCCACCTAAAGGAATAGCTAGAAGTCTCTACGTGGCATTGCGTTCGGTGAGCTCGGTGTATGGAATTGGACCTGAGTTGGTGTGCTCACGGGACCCCTTGTTGTCCAATGCCTTGTCGTGCGACTTTGAAAATTGAGCCGCGCAGCTAGCTTACGGACACGTGGTTTCGTTGAGGGAACATTCATAGTCCGGGCAAACATGCTAGGCTGCGCAATAATATGTTGACGGAATGCTCATATTCACGTTCATGATGTACACAGGGTCTAACTCTAAAAGCAGAGCTCACCTGAGGCAACGGACAGCCCGGCTGACCTCGTGGCCCGCATATCATCCGCCCAGGAAGATTTCAGCAGAATGGGGTAGTGGCTAGTGATCTGGTGAAGTTTGTGCTGATGTTGTGAAGCTGAAGCAAGGAAAGGCGTTTTGAGCGGGAGATGATGAGATTCTAAGTTCTGATGTCCCTGTTCAAGGAAGCTCGCTCATTCGCGCTGATGTGCTTGAAGGCAAGCGGCATTTTGCAGATAGAACTCCAAGTCCCTAGCCCAAGCGTGACTTGCCCACCAATGCAGGCCATTGAAGACTATGAAGCAGAGAATGAAGCGCTACGGCAGTCGAAGCATGCTGCGAGTAATGAAGCAGCTTCGAAAGTCAGCTAATGCTGCGTGCCGGCAGGTGGGGGGTTGGTTCGCAGGGTACCTGCATGGGATTTTCTCACTTTTGCCCAGAAACCCAGTCCTTGAGGTTACACTACATTGCAGTCTCTGACTGCTGCTTGCCACGCAGTGTTGATGTGATTGGTGGCGAAGGATGCGCTGAAAATCTTGGCGTCCTTTGCAAAATGGTTTCAAATCTGGCTCCTCTGCGTGGCTTTCTCCAAGTTAGCAGCTGGACATTGAGAGTTCAGAAGGTGCAACCACATTGGTGATGTAACGCCAAGAAAGCACATAGGTGAGCCTTCAGGGCCGCCGACTTCAGCATAGAAGCCACAAGTGGTTCACAAAAAGGCTCGTCATAGCCAGGTTACAACAGGTACATCAATTCATGTGTTCGCCGGCCGCCGAATGGCATAGCTGGCCGTAGGTGCACGCACGCACATATTGGCCTACAAGTGCATCATTGCGCATGACGTTCAAAAGACCGTTCCGGTGAGGGCGGGAAAGGGATGAAGGAAGGTGTGAAGACCAAGCTGACTGTCTAGCCATGTCTAGCTTTTCGACCCTGCGTGGCCATGCGTGAGACTCATGTAGTCTGATTTTGGTTCAGGCCCTCAAATGGACCCCAAGGCTCATAATCCCTTCCCTCATCCCAGTACCGGGTGCCAAAATTTCCTCATGAGTCGAACGTGGGCGGTCCTGGGGCACCTGTGACAGAAGTGCAACGTTGGTAGAAAGGAGTTCTCATTTATTTTGCTCCTTCAGCTACCTTGTTTGAACTTGGCCTGCCCCGGCTTGCATGTTCCTTTTTTCTCGATTTGGGCTGATGCTCGCGCTCCGAAACACCCCAGACAACACAACCCTTGAAGCCAGTGAGTCCATAGCATTTTTCTGCACAACGGCATGTGAGCCATTGTCCAAAATCCTAGTATCCCCCTTAATCAGCCCCTACTATACTCTCCTATATAATCCCCTAAACTATAGCTCATGTGACTCCCTAAACCCTAAACCTTAAACCCTAGACCCTAGTGATTCTCCCTAAACCCTAAACCTTAAACCCTAAACCCTAGTGATTTAAAGCTGGTATCTCCGCGGCCGTGCCTCCCAAGGGGCAGTTTAACCTGCTTCGATCCCAGCTCTGTAGCGAGTGGGGTCGCAGACCGACGGAGCGGGAAGGACGAAGATTGCATCTACATGAAAGAGGGTTGAATAGGGTTTAGGGTTTAGGACTTAGGGTTTAGTGTTTAGGGTCTCAACTCCTTAAAGGGAGGATATATAGGGGATTATATAAAGGACTACTATAGGGGTTATGGAGGGGCATACTAGGAGTTTAGACTTTAACTTACATGCAGATGTGGTTCTATGCTGGAGGGGACAATATTGCGCCACGCCAGGCGCCTTTATCATGTGTACTATAGTCTAAACTCCTTAAAGGGGGGTTATATAGGGGACTATATAGGGAACTACTCTAGGGGATATTACGGGGGATACTAGGAGTTTAGACTACGGCTCATGTAGTTAATGAGAGTTTGGGGCCTTTGGTGGTCCCAAATTTCTTTCCATCAACAGTACCTATGCAGCATCATGCCAGGGTATAACCCTAAACCCTATACTGCACCTTTGCAGCGCTTTGCATTTTTGCCACGTTCAGGAGTCCCAGCGGCGCATGAGCGAAGCCAAGGAGGAGAATGTCCCTAAACCCTAAGCCCTATAGTTTAGGGGGTTTAGGGTTTAGGGGGTTTAGGGTTTAGGGTTTATATAAACCCTAAACCCTACACCCCAACCGTAACTTTGTTGTTGCGAGGGATGCTGGCAGGCTTTCACAGTGGTATTGTTTTGCCATGAAGAATTACAAGGACTATGCTATTCGATTCCAAATTTATTAAGAGAGGTAGAGGATACCTGAAATAGACTTCAAAATCATACCGGTTGTTCTTCAACCTTCCGCAAAAACTCGAAACGCGGGCTTCAAAGAAATAAGAAGCTGCACAGGTAGTGTTTTTTGCCGTATGCCAAATACAGAAGCTAGCTTCTCTCGGGATTCTTTGCGAAGATGCTGCCCTTGCTGTCTTGCTTTCATTATGCCATTCGTTGTGCACGAAGGAGTGACCAGCTGGTGTTTTATGCTGCGCTACTATCTGGATATAGGAGGGGCATGCAGGGATATCTGAGGACATCTAGAGATATGTAGGGATGCACGTTAAAAGCTTTTATCATATAAGGGCAGACAGGGTAATGGGTTAGGGCCTAGAATTCATTTGGGATTTGGGTTTGTAGGATTGAGGCTCCGAATGGGTGGCATTCCTTGGGTCCTGAAGAGGGGATGTTTGAAGCCGCCCTCTCCGTCGCAAGACCCCCCCGAAGATCTTGAGCCCCAAGCCACGGATGAGGCAACAACGAAATCACGCCTTCTACGACGACGACTACTACTTCTAGTACAGTACCAGGTACGAGTACTGGTACTAGTAGAAGAGAGTAACTGCCAATGTTATGGTTCTAGGTCCCTTGCATTGCAGGGTATTGGACAATATTTAGGTCCCTGTAGTAATTACTTATTAAGATTTCGGGAGACACCCACCCCTAAAGGTTCAAAGCTTATTTCTAAGCCCCCAACACCCTTGGCCATCTAGACCTCCAACCTTGCACTCTGAGGGGCCTCTAGCGACCCCATGAAGGATCCCATGCTAAGCAGTAGTTTTAAAGCACTAAATTACTCCCCTCTCCCTAATATTATATCCCCCCACCCCCTAATATTGAATATTCCCCATTGTGGTATATTTTCATACATTGGGAGTATTTAATATTAGGGGGGATTTAATATGAAAGGAGGGGATTATTGAATTCAACTAAAGGAGCCCAAGCCACCCAACAGCGTGGCACCCGCAACCAAGCGACCAGAGTGCGCGGGGCGCAAGCTGGAGAAACTGGAGGCGCGGTTTAAGGTTTAGGCTTTAGGGCTGTAGGGCTTCAGGGACTAGGGTTTGGGTTCTTGCCAAATCAAGCGGCGAGTATGGGGATTCAGTATTGGGCCCCGTAAGGATTTTGCAGGGGTTATTTTGAGACACCTACGCGACAGAGGGTCTGTAACAGAAAGACCGGTCATGCGGCAATCCCCCGCAACACACCCCGTGTGCACCCGAGGCCCGCGCATGCCTTCCTATTGGTCTTGGTATCATCCTTCCCGTTCGTATCACCATTCATACCTTCATTAAATTAATTGCCATTTGTTACACTTTTCTCGATGAATGAGCGAAATTCTTTTCTTTCACCCTGGAGAAAACAGCATATTCTAAGCTTTGGGCAATACAGTAGTTAGCCATCAAAAGCTTTCCTCTATGGGCTCAGTGATGCTTTTGATTAATGCTGCCGAAATCCTGCGCCGCCTATGTTCGATCCACCGCCCAAACACATAAGATACGTAGCATAGGACCCCCAAAAGCCTAAACCCTAAATTAAAGCTTTTGGTGAGCAAGTGCGCTGTTAGGAGGGCAAATGTTGTTGCAGGAAGCTAAGCCAGGGACTCTCGCAGGTGGGTAGTTTCCAGGTGGGCACCCCATATGAAGCTCAGAAATGGCTCGTATTCGGGAAGTGGCGTTCCAAAAGGTCTACGTAGGCTTCCTTCAACTCTTAGGGTTCCTCTTTTTCATGTTGATTGGACAGGCCGAGCCATTTTTCACATTGGTAAATCAAACGGCTGAAGTTAGGGATTTTACTTGGCTGAAAAAAGGCAATCATGACACTGATGCCCTTCATCCCCCCATGGGACAAGCCCCTTGCGAAAGCCTAAACCTTAAACTTTCAACCGTGATGGTGATATCAAGGAATTTAAGCGTTATCTCGGGGTTTTAGTGGCTTTCCGCGGGGCCAAGTAAACAATACCCTATAAGGGTCCAAGTACCTAAACTCTAACAATCCAAATAGATTGCAGTTTTGGGGATCTAAAGTCCTATGTCCAGCTAACATACCACAAAATACGATTATCCTCATGATGGGGACCCCCAAAAAAGCATCCCTAATCTTGGTAAACTCCCATACATTTCAGGGTTGCTTACTTCAGGCTAGGTGCCCATGATTGACCTACTTTCGGTCCCCTTCACCAGGAACCCTAGACAGTATGGTAGTTTCCGTTTTCTGTTCCTCTAGTTATCCAGTCCCCCTCCAAATGCCCTGAACCCTTTGGCGAAGTTGACTGGCCAGGACACGATGTCGGCCTTGAGCACTTGCTTCTCCTACAAAGCCACACTAGAAGGAGGCAACGCATCTCGTGCTGAGCGGGAGAGAGTTTACACCAAAGGTTCATTAGGAACAAAAAGGAACATCGGCATACCTTTTGGCGGATCCCTGCCCTCTTGGCTTGTTGCGAAGTTCTTTACATGAGGTATCCCCATCCATCCATTTGCTCGTCTTCGGTGTTGAGCCCGTAGTTTAGGGAACGGGGTCCCCTTGCATGAAGATTATTGCTATCGCTTCCTCCCAGGATTATAGACTTAGCTACCAGCCAAAATGTGACAGCCCAATGTCTTGTTGATTGCTAGTCGGGGACGCAGGAAGGAAAAATGAAACTGGTTAGTAGGGGTAGTCCAGGGGCTACTATAGGGATCCATTCCTCCATTCCCTATTGACAAGCAGCAAGATGTGTGACAGGACTGGGAGAAGCTGCTGCTACGTCGCTTACCGCGTTGAGTATGCAGCGCCAGCAGATCTGGAAAGTGCGCGCAAGGACTTGTGGATTGGGGACCCTAAGCCCTAAACCGGCATACCAGTAAGCCTAGACATCCAACTGGCCGAAGTAGGTATTGTTTGCAGACTTCCGTCCCAAAGCAAGTAGTAGTTGTAGACTTGTATGCCGAGGGTCACATAAGTGCATACCCAGAGGGCTCATATCCGGAAACAATCAATGAAGGTTGCTGCATCAATGCGTCATAGGGTTTAGGGCTTAGGGTTCCGGTCCCAAACCCTAAACCCTAAGCCTTCAGCCCTTAGCCTTGACCCTAATCCGCGGG